ACATATTTTAAGAGTAACATTCTACCGATAGTTCTTTTGTTTTATAAAACTTAATACAATTTAGAAATTCCCTAAGCGAGCAAGGCCTGCATATCAAACGTCTGGATAAGATAAGTAACATGTGCATCTGCGTTTATATTTAAGCCTGTATGGGAACGCGGGCGAGATTTAACGATGTTAGCGCGAGTCAGGTGTTTTGTCACTATTTCTGTCCGAAGCCAACAAAATATGTTTGAAATTATGATGATATCATTCCATACACTTATCCGTTCGCAATGCTATGTTTAAATCAAGACAAACATTGTAAACAGTACAAATGACTGATCTATAGTAGGGGAAATTATTTTTCAACTTATAATTTTTATAAAATAAAAGTTGTTTATATCAGACGTGATTTTGTTTACTCTAAGTGCAAGTTTGAGGCTATAAATGAATCTAAATTACATATAGGTGAGATTGGAACAAAAAAACATATTGAATAGGTAAAAGGTGTCGAGTTCGGCTGGTCTGAGATTCGATCGATACGGACGCCCTGCCCTGAAGTTGGACCCGGGTCGATGATGCAATTTATAAATAATTATTCATTATATATAAAAAAACCGTTTAAAAATACATCCAGATTGTGTTAAAGCTCCATAATAACTCCTCTAATCTGTATTTAAAATTAACGCCTCCTCTAATCGTCGTTCAATAAAAACATAAAAATTAAGCTTTGATTAAATTAAATTTTTCGAAAACTTTGCTTGCGTGAAAGTACTCTAGTGATTCTTTAAGAATGTCACGATATTACGTCAAACAGCTGTGGAAAGAATTAACAAAAAAAAAAAGCTATTGTAATTTATTAAAACTTATTTGAATATTATAAACCACCAGGTCTTCTCGAAGTATGTTATGAAACTCAGGAATAGCTTTGGATTTGGGACATTCTATGTCATTCTATAATGTGGCTATATTGTTGAAGAAAAAAAGACAACAAAGAATTGAAAGAATTTACCTTAACAATATTATTAAGTAGTAAAAGTACCAAAAACCAGGTAATTTTCCTTTTATTGTACGAAATTAGTTAAGTTGCTATTGGTAGGGATAGACATCTTTAATGAATGGGTCTAGGAAATTCTTATGAATTGAAGGAATAAGACCCAAGACAGGTAAGAGAAAGAGGTTCCATACAAATTATTACTTTGCAGCTTACAATGTGAGTTAAATAACCCAAGTTTTGCAATTTTTTTCATATTGTTACTGTTTATAGCAAGTGTTATTTGAGAAATACTATAACTACTACTTTTTGTAAAAAATGATGACCTCAAGAATATTTTCTGAAGATACTATATGTTAAGCAACTTTGGATACTTCTTCGGAAGAAATAAGTATAAAAATCTGTGAGTTGAGTTAGCTTAGAGGCCTACCTCTTGTGCAGATTCTAAACCTGGCTAGTGCCAATGTTATTTTTATTGAATGATATGTTACTCTCTAAGAGTATTAAGACACCAGTGACAGATGGTGAAGGAAAACATCATGAGGAAATCTAGACTTCTAATTGCACATTATAAGTTTAAAATCACCAATCTTCCTTGAGCAAGCTTGATTAATGTTCTAATCTTTTCAAATATGAAACAAGGCCTTTACTCAGCAGTAGGCTGGTGACAATGACGATGTAATTTTGCCATCAATCTTGCCCATCAAGACTGACTTCAGCAATATAAATGGCATCAAATGTGTGGTGCATTATTGTTTATATGAAGATAAAAGGTTAAATATGTTTGTCTATAACATATTTTTAAGAAAATAACTACTACCTGATGATTTAAGCATATTAATTTTATGAACATATTCATGAAATTATTTTCCTCACTAATTAACTATTGTATATTGTCCTCTCATACCCTTGAAATGTAAATACCTGATCAGACAATCTGAATTTGTATTAAATTACTTGATGGTTTTTTCTTTTTTGTAATACATATGATATAGTACAATACTCAAATATTAAGTTAACATATTTCAATATACACAAAGTCTCAAAATAATTTTAAACAAGGAAAAAGAATTATTCTTTACATAATTTCCTACATCAAATGCAAAAATCAACAAAATACACTTAATTGAGCTAAATTTAATTTTTATATCAAAAAAGTATACACACTAATTTAGTGTGTATACTTTTTTGATTGTGTTTGGTGAACGTTATGTACAATTTATTATTGACGTACATATCTGTTATTGTAATATAGTCACTTTTAATATGTAAAACTTTTTAATATGTATGTTGTTAGTGTACTTATAATAAATAAATAAATTTCATTTTTTTATTTTATTTTAAGTCAATGTAATAAGTCTTTTTATACATATAAATATTAAAGAATTACCATTTAAAATAAATCAATAATTATATTAAAAGATAAAGTAATACTATGAGCTTAGCTCATAAACAATCAATCAGCAGATTTGTTTATGAGTCACTTAAATAGAACCTGTATGTTTAACCCAAACATAGAACAAAGGAAATTGATTTCTACCACATGTAGAGTTAAAAGATATAATCCAATGATTGTGGAATCTATGAATATACATACATATTTAAACAATCTTTCTTCTTAATTAATTTACAGAACAAATAGTTTGTGAGGTGATAATAGAACAATAAACATTTTTTATAATGACAACATTATGTTAAGATAATGCTCTAATTAAATAGCAATCAAGGAATGCATGAACATGTTATTTACCAGATACATAATATACAAGGAATGACTCCGCAAACAATGTTTGCCCTAAATATAACCAAGATATGAGATAAAATATATGTGGGTAATAATTTTTCAAGCACAAATTTATCAACTCATTTGAGTTAGCAAATATTTGTTAAATGAAATAAATAAGATCGAAATAATAAATAGAATTTAAAATTGAACTCTTAAGTAAAAATGGATATTAGGCAAAGATGACCTAAATTCACAAAATTCTATCTTTGTCCCAGTCTCACTGAGTAAGACTATGCAAGAAACAGATAAAGAATTCTTGTATAGTGTAATAATGGTCATGTTTATTAGATCATTAAACATGATATTTGCGATTTACTTAATAGTATGCATGACGTAAAAACTAATGTACACTTGCATTTTTGATATGATACTGCATAAATGTTAAAAACAGTTCATTTTTATGCGACAAGAATAAAATGGCCTTCGTTTTTTAATAAGGCGATATTTTAACAAAGATCTACGATCTTTTGTCATATATATTAAGCTGAAAATCTTACCTTTAAATGCTTAAAAGACGGCCTTCTTTTAACAGTAATTCATTTCACAAAGTCTACAATCTCAATTTGTAATCATCGCAACAAAACAAGTTAACTAAAATGTGATCTAATTAATTAATAATACGTAGTTTAGTCGTGGTGTTTGACAAAACCTCGAATCGATTATTTTTTCAACACTACTTTAATTTCAGAATAAACAATTAAATCACTTCTGTTCACAAAATGACACTGCTAAATGTTGATTGACACTGTTAAATTTTGATCCATAATGTTTTCCACTGATTTTCAAACACTAAAATAAAAATTAAAACAGCTGGCTGATACAGAGAGCATATTCTTTTACAAATCTTCAATAACAATCACAAGCAACAGATAATACTATTTCTAAATAAGCATAGACTAAGTAAAAACCTCAATATTCGATGTTTTCAAAAAACCGTTAAGTTATTGGTGTGTACTAAAATAAAATATTTTAAGACTATACCCAGAGTATTTATAGTATAGTTTTACTTATAAAGTTTTACATTCAATAATATAAACAGTCAATAATTATGTAAATACTAAGTATATCTTTACTGAATACGTAATAAATATTGTAACATTCACGACAATAAGAATTATTTCAACCTATTTTGTGATATTAATACTTTATTTAATTAATATTCACTTTGTATTAAAATATATTTTGGATACAAAGATTGCTTTATTATATTTTATTAACTAACACAGAAATTAAAGTTTTTTAAGTCACAACGACGGAATGGATACTTCTCTGTATAGTAGTCCCGAAGATCTCAAAATGTTTATATTTTCAAGTAAGTCGATAATAAATGTATCTACCCTATTTAAATTATTGATCGATGTACCTTTCCAAACGGACATAAGATTTTTATTCAAAACTAGTTTTTGCCCGCGACTTCGTCCGCGTTAGTTTGGTCAAGGTTAATATATGTAGGTATAGCTGACCAGGCGAACTCTATTCCCGGCAATTATTCCAATTTTTCTCACCTTTTGAACCTTCCCTGAACTTCCAGGAGTATTTCAAGACTAAAATTTGCCAAATCGGTTCAGCCGTTCTCGAGTTTTAGCGAGACTAAGGAACAGCAATCCATTTTTATATATATAGAAGATGAGCTAATAATAGTATACTATCTCAAATTACTTCCTTTCGTAGAAGTATATAAATGGGCATTGTGTGAAGCTAACATCGAAGTTTTTACAAAAAAAAAACACATTTCTGTTTGAAAGGTAGTTTGTTTTTCAACATGATGTATTTTGGAAGATTGTCTTAATAACTAAGATTAAAGAAAACAGTAAATTAACATAACTTTATCTCTAAAAAAAACTGTAGTTAATATTTTTTTGTAGAATTTATAAAAATACAAGATTGATTTTTGGAAAACATGTCTTATGGTAAGAACTAAAAGTTAGTGGTGAGTAAGGAACCTGCCGATCTGTAAACGAACATTAGCATCGAAATTTATAAGAACTATGTACTTACACGTATAACATAATTCTCAATACTGTAAGAACGATAAACTAGGTATTATAAAAACTTTAATATTAATGATTTCTTGAATCTCGAATAACATTATTATAACAGTAATAAAGTTTGTAATATAACAGGTACAATAAAATTCAGGTACTTACAATACGAATAAAATAATAAACTTATTTTTATTAGGTTTCAAAAATATGGTTTTAATTATGTTATTACAATATCTTATGAGTGATCAATACCTTAACAATTATCAGAAATAAAATCGTGATCATTAGAGAGGCAAAGATTTTTTAAAATTTCTGATGGCGAAGGAATACTCTTGTCATTTAAAGGAATAGATTCTATTAAATCGTCAATGTTATTTGGAAAAGATTCTATATGTTTTTCTTCTGACGGAGCCTCACTTGTACAAACTGGTCGATTGCGATTAAAATCGTCATTGATTATAGTAAAATTTTCAGATTCCATATCTTCCAGCGATAATTGTGCTCCTGTTAGTACTAATTCCGCGTTTACTTCTGAAACGCCTGGATAGTTTTTATTAGAGTAAATAGGATTTTGTTCATCTAAAACTTTCCCTTTTTCCTGAGATACTTCCAATGTTTGTTTCTTTTTTAATTTTTCAACCAGATTTACAGTTTTCCTAACGACTGTACCTGGAGGCTGATTTTGACATTTGTGGGTCCTTTGGGATACCTATAACATATATTTCAATTTTTATAATTGAGAAGAAAATAAAAATTTTGCATGAAGTAGGTACATATAACAAAAAAATGTAATTCCATCCAGGAATTTTCATTTCATTGATCAAAAATTTTGATTTGAATGAAGCTTATAACCCTACACGAAATTTGCCAATACATATTACTAACTTTATATCTAAAACTTTTTTCACATGCTGTACATTTATACGGCATGGCACCGGTATGTATGCGCCTGTGTACCAAATATGACACCCTTTGACGAAAACATTTTCCTGAAAAGAAAGTAAATACAACTTTATCCATTACTTACGTAAATTTAATATAGGCAAATTTCGTCATAAAATATATAAGTGTTTGTGTAGGTATTTAATTATTGTGGTATCAAAGATAAAGTTACATACAATTATACTTATGTGTTCGGTACTTACCACAAGTTTCGCAGGCGAATGGTTTTTCACCAGTATGAATTCGCTGATGATTATGAAGAGTAGATAATTCTTTAAAAGCTCTTCCACAAAAAGTGCAGGTGTGCGGTTTTTCATCATTATGATATAATAAATGCTTGTGATAAGATTGTTGAAATGTAAATGTTTTATTACACTGATTACAAGCATACGGCGTCTCACCTGAAAAAAGATTTTTTAAGAATTAGATATTTATATTAGGTTTTTCAACGATAGATTGTTGATAAAATTTGAATACCTTATTTAATACTGAGTGTTACCGAGTGATGGAATGTTAGTGTCCCAAAGTAAGAAAATTTTCTGAATTTTGTTTTGATATTTATGTCATGAAGATATGTTAGTATATATTATTATCTCCTAAATAACACCAATGAAATTTAACCTGTATGAAGACGCTTATGTTTCTTGAGGAAATATTTTGTCGTAAAAGATTTTCTGCATACATCGCACTGCCACTGTTTACCGTCGTGCCGGTCATCATTGTGCGGTTTGTCTTTTAAGTTAACTTCTGTTTTCTCTTTGGTCTCAGTATTCAAATTAGATTCTGAATGATCATTTGATGTAAAACCATAGTGCGCGACTCTTAAATGAACCATCAACGAACCTCTCATCTTGAAAGTTTTAGAGCACAGGTGACAATTGTATTGCGATAATGAATTGTTCGAATTGTCGTCAACGTTGTGTATCAGACATTTATGCATTTTAAGTATATCAGCATCCACAAAATGTAAGCCACAAATGCTGCATCTATTGCTACTTTGCATGACATTTTTTTCATTATTGACATGAGTTAACGAAGAGTTACTTTTTTCTTGACTTTTAGATATGTCGAGTATTGGCATGGCATTGATGGCTATGACTGGTAATTTGGGATAAATTTTCACATACTTTACTTGGGTGTTGGCTAATGATAAAGTGTTATTTTTAGATACCGTTGCTTTGATTTTTTTCTGCTGGTCTGTCGTCGTTGAATTCTTTTGTGAAGATGTATTTTTTATCTTTGTATGTTGTTGTAACCCTGGAACTTCAGTTTGTAATATCTTCACATGACTAAATAAATGAATAGTCAGTTTATCTAAGCCAACGAGTTCTTCTTGGCAAACTGGACATCGAATTTTATTTGTGGAAACATATATCAGCCTGTCTTTTAGAGACTGAGGGGTATCAAAAACTCCAGTGTGTAAACAGATAGGGCACGGTAATGATGCAGCGTCGGCACTCATTATTAAAAAGAAATGAATGAGCTGTCACAGATATCGACTGTATACTACAGCTCTAACGGAATACTAGCTGCTCGTGAGTTATTTTTGGAAGATTGCGCATACATTCTTTTGGCGGCATTTCAAGAAATTAAACATCATAAGCATGTTCAAAATTTTCAGTCCTAATACGATAAAATAAAATAAGAATACAAACTATTTAATAAGAGGGATTCGTTTTGATTGAACTTTATAACTGGGATTAGCAAAAGATTGGATTGTGTTTAGGGCCAGGAATACATAAAATAGTTAGTGGTTAGTTGAAATGTAAGAACGCCTAGTAAAAAAAATATATTTGTATTTCATAGGAAAACCTTATAAAATTTTCTTGTATTCATTTATTGTGGTCAAAAAGTATTTTCCATCCGTTGGTCGCAAAAATTATGCAACGAAGCTAAACTCTTAAGAAAAATATTGGAAAAGGTGTCAGAGACTTGAAGTATGGTTTTATAACATGTTTAACTATTCCTTGACACAAAATTTAAATAATAATGTTTTTTTTATATTTCATCATTCATATTTCTCTAGAAGGCTATAAACATTGGAACAACCGTATTTACCGGAAATTTGCATTCAATTATCGTATAATCTGTTAATGATTTTTTTGTCTCAAATGTCACTTAATTGTTTTGCTTTGAATTTTTCGAATTGTGGCGGTACATTTTGCTATGGCGACAAAAATGTTTATTTTGCTCTCCTAGTAGTTTTCACTTGTTAGGAAACTAATTTTTGAATTTTATTACTTTAATACTTTATTTGTTTATTAAAATGCCGAACCCAAACGGAAATGTGCCACAATATATGGCCCAACTTCTGGAAGAGCTGGGATGGAATCAAGGAACTAGAATTCCTTTAGCCAACCCTGACAATCAAAATTTGGAGACCCTCCTAATTGATAGGTAGATACATTCACTTTACTTTTTTGGTTCTGTGTTAGTGTATTAGAAGCTAACATATTTTAATTTCTAGGCAAAATGAGATACAGCGCTTGAAAGAAGCTCTCATTTTACAAAATCAAAAACAAGATGATCTTAACAAATACAAACACCATGTTCAATCAGAATATCAGGAAAATACGGTACAGTAAGACTCGTCATAAAAAATTTAAGGAAGTAACAATAAAATTAAGTAATCATCTATCATCTTGTATTTTCAGCGTTTATTATTTGCACACAAGCAGCAGTTGGAGCAAGAGGTGAAATTGCGACAACTCTCATGCAATGAGGCTGACAGACTTGATAGAGATGTAAATGACTTTAATAAACAGGATAATACTATAACAACAAGAATTGATAAGCTTCAAAGTAAGAACAAGATATCAAGTCAGCAATGTAATATCTAGTTTTAATGGAACTTTTAAAGATAAACTTGTCTTTTATTCAAGGTGGTATCGCCAAATTACTAAAGAAGGCTGACACTCTCAAGAGTGAGGTGTGTGGTGAGCGTGGAGCTTTGCAGGAATGGAGAGCCGCCCTCGAAAGAAGTGCCGACGACATCACAGCTATAGAACAGTTTACTAAACAAGACCTGTCTAAAGCCAAAGTACTAAATCTGTTAATGTTATATATAATTTAATAATCATATAAGCCATAAAATTCAATGATGTATCAATATTAAATGTATGAAATGTTGAATAATTATTATCAACAAACTTAGATATTTCATATACATTTTATGTTTGAAAATTTACTTTCATAAATTATAAAATATAAAAAATCAATATTTTATAACTTAACTTGATGGTTATAAATTTTACTTATATTCCTGTTCTTAATACAAGAAAGATTAATGAATATTTGATTAATGAACTTATAAATTATCATGATAATAAGGAATTATAACAAATAGTTTTATGCTTATCAAAACTTCATATATTTCACATAAACATGATAGATAAGTTACTTAAAAGTCTTGTACTATTTACATATAAATATTTATTATTTAATATACCACAGGCACTGGAGACAAAAAGACAGAAGCTCAAAATGGAGCATGACCATATGCAAGAACGTCTCAATCAACTTGTTTCCAATCTCAATGCAGAAGAGAGGGCTTGTGAAAGAATATCTGTTCAGGTACACTAACAACAAATTACATCAATTAATATTTAGTCTTGTATATATTTTCTTCTTTATTGTATTATAATATATTAGAGCTGTATTATTTATTTCAAGTGTAATTTAAATCTTTTTTGTATTATATTTTATTACCTATTGTTTTTAAGTTAAGTATATTATATTATTTTTTTCCAATTCATATAGTGTATTTCATTTTAAAATATTTGTGTATATAATTCAAACATTTTAATTCTTTATCTTCTGATTAAAACATGAAGAGCTCATTGTAAAGATAATTTTTCGTTTTAATTATATTTTTAGTGTTGTGTAATAAATAATATATTTGGTTATTAGGTGATGGAAGGTATGGAACAAAGAAAACAAATGATGAATATGTGGGCCGGTGCTGTAGAGAATCTACGCCAACGAGATACAGACATAAGACACATTAGAGAGGTCATTATTTACACTAATTGAAATCCTGTTGACGGTTTAAGTGGCTTGAGTATTGATGAAAAGATTTTTTTGTGTTTTAAGTAATAGACTTTTTTGTTCCTTCTATACTCGAAAATATGTCTAAATATTCAGTTCAAATGCTGTTTTGTATCAAAATAAAATTATTGCCCTAATCTTTTTTTTTGCAACGACTTCGGTTTTGAGTTATAATTTTGATTTTTTAATATTTCAGGACTATGCTGTATTAGAAGCAGAGGCAAACAATCTCACCGAGCAGTGCCGCTTGCAGCAGACATTCTGTCAACAGCAACAGGGACATAATGCTGATGCTGTTAAAGAGAATATGGCCATAATGCAAACACTGAGCAACACGCGGATGGCATACCAGCAGACTCTTGAAATGAACACATCACTAGATAGTGAGGTAATAAAGCTAATAGTTCTTTATAGTTGAGATTTGTTGAAGAATCTACATATGTTAAACAAAGGAGTATTCCATTATATAATGAAATATTTTAGTAATTTAACATGTTAACTGATAATATTAGAATATTCTTAGTGAAAGTTAAAGATCAAAAATAGTGATAGACAGGAAGTTTGCCATAGTATGCCATATTTGTCATAAAATAAAAGATGTTTCAGAAAGTTTCAGAAGACTAGGACATCTAAAAACAAGAAGGTGGGATCATATCCGTCTAAACCTAAAACCAGACTGATTAAGCTCGTCAAACAGTATAGATATAGTTGAAGAAGGCCTTTGACATGACACTCCTCATTGCAAGAAATATTATAATTGATGAAAACAGAAATATAATGGCTTTAATAAATTATACATTAAATCAGTTATTATATTTTACAGGTCCACAGCTTGCAACGAGAACTCAGCAACTTGAATATAGCCCTTGAGAAGCTGCATATGGAGAATAGACAGCTCTTTGAAGACCAACATAAGAAAGATGTCGCTCTACAAACACTTTCAACTAAGGTCGTACATTCCTAATCCACTCTTTTCAAAACATTATACAGCATATTAAGTCTTACATAATGTGTACATATATATAAATATTTGTATATATCTATAAATATATTTATCATATTTTTTCAGATCAAAGAGCTGAAAGAAAAGTTAGCTGAATCAACAGACAAATCAAAATGTTCAGAAAAACGTGCCAAAGAGTTAGAGGATATGTTGAATGCAAGTATATAACTATAGAAATATGAAGCAAATAATATGAATTTGTCATGTTATTAATTGTTAATTATAATTACAGGAAGAAGAACGTTTTGCGAGTCAGTTAACTGTGAATCAACAACGGGCTATGCATTGCTCGTTTATAGAACAACAGAAATTATTGACTCTGCAGAATGAGGAGAAGCTGTTTCATATGCAACTAAAAGGTATGTTATTATATTTTTAACGTGCAACTGGTAAGAGTTTATAGATGCAATGCTATAAGAATAATTTCATATTCTTATACAACATTACAGCCTCTAAAGCAATAATGAGCAAGTTAGACACGAAACAACGTGGTGTGGAAAGAAATCTACAGAGTCAGAAGGAATCTCTCTATGCTATTGTATGTTTTCAAGAAATTTATAATGCACAGAGTGAAACTATAGTCTAGTTAGATTCATAGCACTAG